TAACAACACTATGTACATTGTGAATGATAAATAAAACTAACAACACTATGTACATTGTGAATGATAAATAAAACTAACAACACTATGTATATTGTGGATAATAAATAAAACTAACAACACTATGTACATTGTGAAGATAAATAAAACTAACAACATTATGTATATTGTGGATAATAAATAAAACTAACGACACTATGTACATTGTGGATAATAAATAAAACTAACAACACTATGTATATTGTGGATAATAAATAAAACTAACAACACTATGTACATTGTGAATGATAAATAAAACTAACAACACTATGTATATTGTGGATAATAAATAAAACTAACAACACTATGATGATAGATAAAACTAACAACACTATGTACATTGTGGATGATAAATAAAAGTAACAACACTATGCACACTGTGGATGATAAATAAAAGTAACAACACTATGCACACTGTGGATGATAAATAAAACTAACAACACTATGTATACTGCGTATAATAAATAAAACTAACAACACTATGTATATTGTGAATGATAAAACTAACAACACTATGTACATTGTGAATGATAAATAAAACTAACAACACTATGTATATTGTGTATAATAAATAAAACTAACAACACTATGTATATTGTGGATAATAAATAAAACTAACAACACTATGTATATTGTGGATAATAAATAAAACTAACGACACTATGTACATTGTGAATGATAAATAAAACTAACGACACTAACAAAATTCATAAGTTAGATCAATCAACGAAATGTGACGGTCAATCCCACTATTCGTTGGTAAAAGAGTAGCCCAAGAGTTGGCGGTGGGTGGTGATGACTAGCTGCCTTCCCTCTAGTCTTACACTGCTAAATTAGGGACGGCTAGCGCAGATAGCCCTCGCGTAGCTTTGCGCGAAATTCCAAAACAAACAAACAAACTTTTGCTTCAAAACTTCAGTCAATTGCTGACAAATGGAACCTGCGCTTAGAGTTGGAAATTCCAAGACGTTGCTATTGTTACTCTGAAAGTATATATATATATCTCACGTGCTTTGTGACAGGACGCACCAATCTGTTGAAACAAAGTGTTGCCCTACTAAAAAAATACAATGACTTCTTAACGTTCTTGGATACTTACAGACGTTCCAACGCTTCACATATAGCAAAACACAATTTCGAGTGAATTGTTCACCTACTTTTTTCCTAGATCTAATTCGACCATCACCGTAAAATTGAAGCTCAATAAAGCTGTTCTTGTTATTCCACAACATTAGACAAACTTTTGAGGTTCCAACAGGTCCTGGGCAAATAGTTAATATTATAACAGGTCCAGAGAAATGATTAAGATTCCAACAGGTCCAGAGAAATGATTAAGATTCCAACAGGTCCAGAGAAATGATTAAGATTCCAACAGGTCCTGGGCAAATAGTAAAAATTCTAATAGGTCCGTAACAATGATTAAGATTCCAACAGGTCCAGAACAAGTGGTTAAAATTCCAACAGGTTCTGGGCAAATAGTTAAAATTCTAATAGGTCCGGAACAATGATTAAGATTTCAACAGGTCCAGAGCAAGTGGTTAAAATTCCAACAGGTCCTGGGCAAATAGTTAAGATTCCAACAGGTCTAGAGCAAATCGTTAAGATTCCAACAGGTCTAGAGCAAATCGTTAAGATTCCAATAGGTTCGGGGAAAATGTTAAGAACCCAACAGGTTCGGAACAAATATTTAAAATTTCAACAAATCCAGAGGAAATCGTTAAGATTCCAACAGGTCCAGAGCAAATTGTAAAGATTCTAACATGTCCGGAGAAATTGTTATAATGCCAACAGATCCAGGGCAAAAGGTTAAGATTCCAGCAGATCCTGAGCTAGCTATTTTTAATCTTATCCCTTAATTTTTATATTAATTTGAACAACAAAATTAGAAGACAACATATAAAATCAAATTCATTTATTTATATTCATTAAATATTGGGAAAATGTTAATACTAAAGTTGACACTTGATTACAGTGTTATTTCAAAATCTTACAATTAGTAACAGAAATTTCACATTTCTTGCTTTCATCGAGGTGAAACAGCACATCACTTGCTTCAAGTGAAATTTCATGCCCGACTGAAATTGTTACCAATTCAACCAGTTCGTGTCATGGTTGATCTCAGATAGATAATAATCATTTTGAATTTGGAAAAGCTTATTTCTCCTCTAGCAATGGTTATAAACAAAGTCTGCAGAATTTTCGGTTTGACAAAAGTGTTAAGAAAATACGAATACTAATTTACTCTTGCACATGTATTCCAATACACTTTAGTAACTTTCCGCGAGAGGGCATACGATCCGTAGCAAACTTTCTATAGTTATATCAGTTGCCTCATTACTTGATAAGCCGATTTGAAAATCCAGTGTTTCAGAGAGTTTCTTGACTTCATTTTCGACAAGTTAGCAATGCAGTACAGGAAACTGAACTATAAGATTTGTTCTCATAGTTGTTAAAACCTCTTTTCCACAAAAATCAATGGATGTGTCGACAGTTTTGCTAAATAAATTGTCCTTGAAGTTTTACTGGGAATCAAGGATAGAACAATCAACACCCTTTTTTAATTTTGCGCAAACTTGCCATTAATTTCTATCGTTTTTGAAAGCTTCTTTGAGCCAATCAATGCTTTTGCAAGACCTCCGTCACTTCTGTACTGATCAAGGAAATATCTTGTTTTTCGTAACTGCAAAATACACCAAGATATATTAATGGCTGGAAACGGCTTGAATGGGTAATGAAGAAAAACTTTAATATAAGTTTAACATAACAGCATTATTAGTCTCAAAGTGGGTTCCTCGTCATCGAATTTGAATACACCAAGATATGTTAAGATCATTATCTTACAGTTGCGTGCTGACGAGGATGCTCTCTTAGAGCAAGTCACTGTCATACTACAAAGATTTGAAACTTCGTAACGATTGCTTTTGCATTGGAATGTGCCTTTGTTCCACTAGCTACCGTTAAAAAGTTGTTTTCTGCGATGAAGACCAAAGTGCTACGAGAGTTCTCAAAGCTGACACTAGAATGCACAAACAGCACCAATTCTTCTTTCCCATAGCGTGTCACCCAATCTTTCTAGTAGTGGGAAACGTATTGTGGCAACTTTCAAGGGATGAGTTGAAGCAAAAAAAAATATATATATACGTTTTGAAGAATGTTATTGATTTGGTGTAGCAATTAATTGCATCGTTCAACAAGAGATTCAGAGCATTTATGCATTGAATGTTACAGAAAAGACATAAGTCTTTATTTCTTTTGTAATATCATTGTTCTTGGTCTCGTAAACCTTCGCGGAGCAGCGCCACTGTTTTAAGTTTCCTCAAGACAACTAATCGTGCCGACATTTAATAACTGTGGCAAATCGAATGATCACAGTCATCTCTTCTGTGTAACTTCTTTCCGGAGTATAGTCGAGCGAAATCAAGAAATACTTAACATTTCAAGTAGCAATAATCATAATCTGGATCATGTTAGACAGCAACTGAGTCAATTCATATTGGATGGCGTGAATGGATAATGAAGGAAACTTTATGATAAATGAACAATGTTTCGGCAAGATTATAAGGTACTAAAATGTTTACAAAGTTGGGAATTAACTGTTCAAAGCGGCATTGCCTGAGAAAGGAAGTATTGTTTTGACGATTTTTACATTTATCTTACGAAGTTTGGAGATACATTTACGGTGGTGGACATCTGAGGGAGCATACTAGAAAGATGTACATAGGATAACAAAGACAAACGTTGTACCTGATGATGACATAATCTTGTTTAAATGTTGTGGAGATTTGGTTATCGACTTTTGAATACTGTCCGACAGATGGCGCCACGTTTATTATATTGAAACGAAAGGTAGTACATGAATAATTTCACTGCGGTAATGTCTGTTTTATAGTGTGATAGCAAGTCAGAAATACTGGCGTTAGGGAGTATTTTAAGGGCAAATATATATATGTATATTCTTAATACTTTTAAAATACAAAAAATAATTAAAGTGAGAAAATAAAAGCAACAACAGTTACCCAAATTCGACTCAATAACCCACGTGCGTTCGGAACATAAAGATAGGTTTACCTTATTAGTTTAACCGGATATCTTGGCTTTTTAACAATTGACCCGGTATTGACAGATGGTTAGAGCGCTTGACTCGTACTCAGGGTTTGCGGGTTCAAATCCCCACACCACACACGCTCAACCTTTCATAAATCATAGAATTTTCATAGTACCAGAAAATCCGAAATAATTTGGCCTTATCCATTCCAAAGCACCAACTATATCTAAAACGGTTCAGAATTCAACTCTCCGATGGTTATCGGCCTTTTCGTTGGACTAAACACACGCAACAACATAGTTTTTGCGCTCTGACATTTCAAATAACCTGTAGTCTCAACTGATAAACAACATGATAAAATATCTAAAATATGTATATTATTGGTTTACAAAATGAAATGAAGCCTAAGGCCGCCTGGAGGGGTCACCATTATACAGCAGTGTGTAGTCTCTCAGTCAATCCGTAGACAATAAGATGACGTCACATATGGGGCGCTTAGCGTTGTAATTTGTACTGCCGTGACGTCAGTAAAACGTGTGCATGCCATGAATCACGGAAAGAAATGTGAACTCTGTAGGCTCCAACACAGCATAATATATGAACTTCAAAAGCAAGAAATAAAAATATTTGTTACTCTTAATTTTGATTTTATTTACTCTTGAAATAGAACACTTTCGAGGACCCTACACAAGTACATCTAGTTTTATTACGAGTATATCATCCAATAAATTATTATGCATAACAACTATCTTAGCCAAAAGATGGCAGCACAATCAACAGACTGTATCTATGTATATGTACACAGAGGTTTCATTGGAGCAACTTAATGTTTCAGTATAGTACAAAAATACACCTAGTCAATATACAATGAATAAGGTATTACTTTCTATTTAATACAGGTGTATTTGAACTGTGAAAATTGGTCAATTTATATGATGAGAACATTTTTCACTTACCATTACTTGCTCCGAAGGTCGTACGAAGTTCAATTCCACCACTAGTCGTGGTATCCGGTGCGGAGCAAGCTTCCGTGGAGTGAGAAATATTGGTTACATCGGTCACTGACGCTGCTGAATGAGCTATAGTGTTCCTTACTCTGTTTGTAAGTGAGCTGGCCAAAGTTTCGGAGGATATAAATGAAGGAAGAGTAGTGTCTAGTAAATCATACGATTGTGGAGCACTCGTCAGCAAAGAAGAGGTAACTTGTGGCGCAACCCTACTAGACGGTCCCGGTGCTCCTGTTAAGACTGAGAAATTGTTCTCGGGTAAGGTAAGAAGTCCAGGATTTTGGAGGGCTGTGGCTAAAATAGAAGTCATTTGGACAGAGGAACTGCTTTTGACAGGTACAACTGCAGACGGATATGCCACACTAGAGACATCTATTGAGGATTGAACGAGTTCGGTGTCTTTAACGGACGTTAGAGAAGAGTTGAAACAAGTTGACAACGTTAGGATAGGAAGATCTTCTTCCGGATTAGCACCAACTCTATTAAAGCATGCACCATAATCTTCACTACTTCTTCTTCTCTTCCTTTTACGGAGGGAGCTCTGAATTTCACTGATTTGAGGCTGGGGTGTTAACAGCTGACTAAGTATGCCACTGTTTTCTACTTTGGTTTCGATATCAGCAAATATGCCATCCAGTTCGAAATCCGGAACAGAAAACTGTCGCATAGTTTCTTCCTCTTCTTCAAGTGCCGGAACCAAACCATGTAAGTCTGTATGTGACAGTTCCTGGAGAACGTCGAGTTGTTGTTGGACAATGACATTAGGTCCGCTATCCTACAGACAAGACAATCTTGATAAACGTTTTTCTACTAAATGTATGGTAGAAGTGATAAAAATTGGTAATGAATTACTAACAGTAATGAAATAATGCATTAGTATATAATTACAGGAATTACTAGTGTTGTTTATAATAAAGCATGTTTTTGTTATTTGAATAATTCATATTTCTAATCCAAACACATATTGATAATTTTATATATCATTCACATGTAAAAAATAAACAATAACAAGAAAATTTGCCAATAGTATTTTTACTATGTATTAAGCATAAAAAATTGATATTAACAAGTAATCTGTGAATCAACGGCATAAAATATAACTATTTTGTTAGGTGGTGGAGTATCCCATCAGATCCGGAAGCCTAAGAGTGAAGTACATAGCAGTGTATGGCATGATCCAGGGATCATTTTGCCGTGCTGTTTTCTTTGATCCGAGTTGTCGTTTCCAAGTGTTTCTATCCCACCAAAGTGGACCACATGCACGTTATTTCTCCATTGTTTTAATATTTCTCTCTCTCTCTCTTCTTATTATTGTAATATTCTTACACTTCACTCACTAATACGTCTCTCTCTTCTTATCCTTGTAATATTATTTCATTTCACTCACTAATACTTCTCTCTCTTCTTATCCTTGTAATATTCTTACACTTCACTCACTAATACTTCTCTCTCTTCTTATCCTTGTAATATACTTACACTTCACTCACTAATACTTCTCTCTCTCTTCTTATCCTTGTAATATTCTTACACTTCACTCACTAATACTTCTCTCTCTCTTCTTATCCTTGTAATATTCTTACACTTC